CCTCTGAGAATCCCTTCCTACTCCAAAACTAGTTGCTTTGGAAATAAGCCCCACTTCTGAATTCAGACAGATTTGTTTCATGTAAACTTCTGATGAACATGCATTGTATTCATCTAAGGTTGATTCTCAGGCTTCAGTGTAACCTTACTTCTTGCACAAATGTTAGCTAAGTCTCCTTATGTGACTTGAACAATTTGAAATGATGGGCTGAAGAAATATAGAAGAAGACAAAAAATATTAAATATTTTTGTATGGATAATAATTTGAATACTGATTTCTTTGACCTTATTATTGTTTTAACTTATTGAGTTATAATGTGTCTCCTTAGAAATTGGAGAAGGTACAATTGTATTTCATCTACATATTAAAATATATTAAGTTTTTTTTTCTCAATTTAAACCCTTAATTAGTAGTATTGATTGTCAGAGGATATTTAATTTACCATTTGTCTTAGATTTCACCACACTTTAGGTGTTGTAGCATATTCTTTTTTTTTTCTTCATGTTTTCATAATGTTATTGCCATTGTGGATGCAGATGAATGTGGGGATAGAGATTTTATTTTTCCTCAAAGAAACCCTGTATTATGACTATAGGTCTAAATTGGTTCATATATGGGACCTTCACTATTATTTACCTCTAAGAAGCTTCTTTATCAACTTCTTAAAGTCCATTTTTGTAAACAAAATATAATGTAAAAGTATAAATATCTTAAAAATATACATTTTGCCTGTTAAGACTTACATTATAAGATCTAAAATAAGAATGGGCATTTGTATATGTAATGACTGCAACTGTAATCCACAAATACAATAGAGAAAAGGTCAGCCTCTGCTGTTTCATGTTATAATATTTTACACTGAATGAAATATGAAAAATGACATATGAAAAAAGACTTTCTAATAGTGAGAATAGTGAGTGGGGCGGGGGGAAACTTTCCCAGTGCTTCAAGGAGATTGTTGTCAAGATTCTTTTTTACTCATGTATTGCTTTATGAATATTGACTTTACTAACATTATATGCATTCATTTATGTATTTTATCATGTGCCTATGTATAAAATATTCATGTCAAGGTTTTTTAGAAATGCAGGATTTCTCTTGAAAATCAGGCTTTTTATTGCTGATAGTACACAGTTCTAAAGGGTATATTCTCATTCCTTCTCTCCACCACCACTCCTGTCTTGCTAGGTATTAGATCCAGGTGTGCTACGCATGTACCATAACTCCGAGCTATACTCCCAGTTACTCTTTTAATTGTTTTTGTTCTTTGACTTATTTGTCCAGAGATTTCATTTTTAACAGTCACAGTACCAGAACTCCTTGCCTTAACCATCTTAGGTGATGATTTAAGACAGTCATCTTGTATCCTTATAGAGCGGGGAGAAAAGTAAAGCATAATCTCACCCTTAAAAAGTAGAATTCTTATATCCTTAGTCTTTTCATTCAGTTTAAACATTAATCCTACAAAACAAAAAAGAATTTGATAAATTTAAATAAGATCTAACTAAATAAAATATATTTATTAAATCATATTTAAAGTGTCATTTTATTCTAGTATTATTTTATGAATATTCTGTTTCTTACCAACCATATTATTAGAACTATTAAAATTTAGAAAGTGTAACTGACTAGCAAGAATGATTCTTAATCACTATGAGTAAATAAATAAATTATTAAGTTGAGTATCAATCTGAAATTGATTTAGAGAAGAATTTTAATACAATATGCAAGAAAGGCAAAACAAAAAGACTAGAAAATGGATCCAGTTTATTTATTTATTTATTTTGTTTGTTTGTTTTTGGCACCAGGGATTAAACCCAGGGTGCTTAATCACTGAGCAACATCCCAGTCCTTTGTTTGTATATATTTTATTTTGAGTCAGGGTTTCTATAAGTTAGTTAGGGCCTCACTAAGTTGCTGAGGCTGACTTTGAACTTGTGATCCTCATGCTTCAGCCTCCCAAGCTGCTGGGATTCCAGATGTGTGCTATCACACCCGGCCCTCTGTATGTTTCTTGTTAATTGAGATGACCCCCACAATTTGCAGAAGAAAAAACTCAGAAACATGAAAAGTAAGCAAGCCATGACCTTGACAACTGTAGAGCTGAAAGTGTACATTACCTGAATTTGTTCAAAGGTCAAGTGCTATCACCTTTACATAGACATTCAAAACACAGTGCATATAAACTGTATCAGCAGAAAGTTTCTTTACAGTCTATACAAAAATTTTGTAAATTTAACTAAAGAGTGAGATTTGCTTTATTTGGGTTGGTGTGGAAAAAGAAAGAAAGACCAAGGAAGATTGGGGAGGAAATATTGTAAAGGATTGAGCAAGATAAAAAATTGGGGAGAAAAAAAAACAAGCTATGTCTTTTTACTAAAGGGACATCCAAGGTCTATTTAGATGTATGAATGATTCAACATATTTGAATAGAGCATTATGAATGTTGAGATTGACACAAATGAAAACAATGGACTATGGTACAAAATGGTGACTATAGTTAACAACAATGTATTATATTCTTGAAAATAATCAAGAGAGTGCGTATTAAGTATTCTCACAAGAAAAAAATGATAAATGTATCAGGTAATGCATCGATTAATTTAGCCCAATTTAATTATTCTAGATATATGAATATTTCAAAGTATCATATCACTATAAATATATACAATTTTTATTTGCTGTTTTAAAACATTTTTAAATAAAAGCAACAGAATCTACCAAGCTCCAATTTTTTAGCCACTATTATTAAAAGAAACTTTTTTCCCCACTGAAAAGGTACTGAAAAACAAAGTAATAAAAAGGAAATGAAAATGTTAATTACCTTGATTTGATCAGTACATACTAAATACATGTGTTGAAATATCACACTGTACCCCATAAGAATGTACAATTATCAGCATTAATCAAAGAATTTTTTAAATGTATAAGGAGATGGACATGTTAGCTACCATGATTTGATCACTAATACTGTGTTTATGTGTCAAATTATCACATTCTACCTCATAAAATTCTACAGTTAAAAACAATTATCTTTAATGAATAAACTTGCACATGTGCATTGCTAATGAAAGATAAGCAATTCTGAAATTTTGTTGTTGAAATTAAAAGAGCAAAAGATTTATACTTTAAAAAATAATACTTCATTATGAAATTTCACCCTTTTTTGCCTTGGTTTTAGAGAAGATTCTACAAAATAAGTCATGTTTGACCAGAGAACAAAGGCTCAAGGTTCCAAAGTGGATAATGAATTAGGTATTATAAAACTAAGGAAAAATTAAACATATGATTTCATGAATGCATTTAGATGACGACCGACGAGTTAGCATCCAGGTTCCGGTGAACAATGCTTAGGAAATGGGTGGGCGGGAAAGAGATTCTGACAACTTGTGCTTGTTATTCACGTACTCTGCAAAGCTTAGGGGAGCAGTGAAGGACTGGGACTGCATTAGAAATCATTCTCTGTACTGGTTCTCTGGGCTCGCTTTGAACTCTTTTTCATCATTATTTTATGCCGCGTCTTGTCTTTGTGTTGGTAGAGGGGAAAGGAAAAACACAGGAGACTAGCCTTTAGTTTCTAAATCAAAGCTCTGCTTGGCTGATTACTGGAGTGGCTTTTCAAAGGCAAAGCAAGTGGGGACATTAAAATTCCTTGTTTCTGTGGACCAGGAGCTGAATTATTTCTTAAATTTTTTTTTAAAAAAAGCATATTTCAATACATCTTACATTTACCTTGAAACATTCTCTGCATTTGTTTTTCAATTTGATTGGCACTTGGAGGAGATAAAGCAAGATAGGAAAACGCAAAAGTGAACCTGCAGAGGGTAGGAAGACGAGTCTCCTTCCATGGAATTTCCCCCATGGCCCCTTTACATTTTTTTTTTATTTTTAAATATCTCTTAGTTGTTACTGGACCTTTATTTTTATTTATATGTGGTGTTGAGAATGGAACCCAGCGCCTCGCACACATGTGAGGCAAGTGCTCTACCACTGAGCCACAACTCTAGCCCCCATACCCCCGCGCCTTTACACTCTTTGACCTCAAGGTTCAAAGACGTTAGTTTTACCAGTTGCCCAAGTCCCAGACCCAGAAAACAAGAACTAGACCCTTCTTTGGGATCCCCACTCCCTCCCTCTTTACACTGCCCTATGCTGCCTCTAGAGTTAAATGGAGAAACTTTAGGCAAGAAAGGCTGGAGAGGATCAGTTAAGCGTCTAAGATGCTTGAACATTTGCCTTGACTTGAGAAAAGAGCACGCTAGTTCTAGGCACTGAACGCGCTGAATAGCTGCAGCTGAATATCTCAGAGGCTTGATTTTCAACTTCGAAAGATTCGCCTACGGAGGAAAGTAAATCGCTTTCTGTACGCCCTCCACACCTTCCGCGCTGATCAAAGAGGCTGTCGTCCCTCAAACATTTCGTGGGCTTGTTCCTTGTAACATTCTCTTCGCCTTGTTCTTAGAGGGTTCTTTCGGACCTTTCTCCTCTGGTTATTTCCACTTCTTGATCCTAGGTTCTTCTTTAATTGTAAACTGAAGTCGCCTTGGCTCCGCAGGTGAACAGGACAGATCGCTGGATTCCTTATTTTGACAAAAGTCCAGAGAACCACTCCTGCCACCCAACCACCCCCATATTTAGACACACTAGCGAGACCTTCCAAGGATCGTTTGTGGAGAGGAAGGGGTGCTTTCTGTGGCCCTGGAGAACGGCTAGAGAAAGCGCGCGGAGGCTGTAGGCAGGGGAACCCTATCTGCTGCCTGTGGGGAGGCGCCTAGTGGGAACAGCCCGCTCGCACCCGCTACTGCCCTGCTGCGGCGACGACTGGCACCATTACCCACCCGGAATCCGGTTGGTGCTGCGGGTGGGCAAAGACAGCGCAGCCGGCATGGAGGGCGGCGCAGAGGGTGGCGCTGGCGGCGTGAAAGGCGTCTTTGTGCAAGACCCCGCAAGGGGCGAGGGGAGAGGAGAGAGCTGAGGTGGGAGCTAGAGGAGGGTGTCTGGGTTGTCCCTACACTCCCACCCGACAATCCCATTAGAACAATCAGGGTAGCTCCAGCAGGGGGCGGAGTGGCGCGAGAGGTTGCCCAGAGTGGGGGCTCTGTCAGGCTCTCTTTGAGACAGGACTGGGAAGAAAGCAGTTTGGAGGAAGTTGGGGCATGGGGAGGGATTTGGCTCCCCGCCCTCTCCCCTAGGTGGCCGAGAGATCACACTGGCTGCGAGGGCGCGACCCCTCGCGGACCTCTCACTCTGGAGTCGGGGAGCTGGGAGAGCCGGCCCTGGGGCGGGGCCTCCCTCCTGCCGGGCAGTACTGGTGCCCACCCCCCCACCTGAGGGAGAGGGGCGGGCGCCGCACAGCCTTCCTTCTGCGCCTCAGCCGCGTGGCTTGCGGCTTATTTTCCCAGCTGGCAAGCGTCGCGCTGCAGACAAGGGAATGCCTGTGGTGAGTTGTTTATTTTGTTGAAGTTTGCGGTGGGCCAGGGGGACGTGGAGGGCGAGCGGCAGGCAGCGACCGACCGGGACTGTTTTGTTTAGGTCTCCATCCACCTGTGTGGTATAAATCTGCCAGCCCCAGGGCGGCGGGGGGCCATGGTGAGAAAACCCTGCTCTCCCAAAGGCCGCTTTTCAACACTTGCAGACCTAGGACCACATTTGATTCCCCAAGCCTGGAACAGGCTAGATCCTAGCTTACACGGCCCGTTTGCCCTCCATCAACGTTACCCGCACCCACTGCGGATAGGACTGGCGCTCCAATGGACAGTCAGCGCCCACTACCCGAGGACAACAGGCCGTTGAAGTTCTTCCCAAGTGCCCTTTCTGTTTCCTTTAGGACAGTGAAACTAAGGGTTTGGTGAAGGGCGCCCATGAAATTAGTGAGAACTTGCTCTGAAGGCTTCTGACGTGAAGTACGTTCAGGGGTGTCGGGTCTGCCTGTTACTACAAACTAGGATGCGGGTTGGCCAGAGTTTCCCAGACTTCAGGCTAAACAGAAGTAGGCACTAGGCTCCTGGGGCAGCTCAGAGGAACCCCCGGGGCTGATGTTAGTCATGGCCGCGGCTGCGTTTGCCTGGAAGAAAAGACTAAATACATTAGTGAGCTGGTAAAGCTTTTAAGGCTTTCTTGGGAGTGCGTGGCTGGCTAATGAGAGGTTAATTTTGTTTCGAAGGGAAGGCTGAGCTGGTTTCCTGAGATAAATGGACAGGAAGCGCATTACCTCTACGCGCTGGCAAGCGGCTTCCAAATGCTTTTTGCACCTGCCGCTTTGAGCAGTGCAAGCCGCGGCGGAGCCCACAGGGATCGCAGGGGGCCGGTTGTGTACGCGCGGGTGATGAACCCCTTGCACACCCGGGGCTCTCTGCCACCGGGGTCTCAGCGCTCGCCTCGAGCTCTGGGACTCTTCTCTCACACCCAGGTCCTGCGTGTTCCGGAGCTCTGGGACCCCCTGATCCCGCCGAGCCCTCTCCAGGAGCGGAAGGGTTAAGAATGATGTAAGTACAAACCACGAACTGCTTGCCGCTGGGCTCTTGGACTTGGCTATTTCAGCCACTGCTTTTCGACAGTGGACCGGGAGGCAGCCGAGGAGCGCTTATCCTACAATAGGTTGCACAAATCGCAACTCTGGGTCTGATTCCTGGTTCTTCTGCCCTAGGCGATCCATTAAGAAAACCGAGATACTCCTGTTAGATTTCTGGAAATGGAGATGTAGTAACTGGGGAACAGTTAAGACGTCACGTTTAAGTTCAGGAAATGAAACCGCATCTTGTTTAGAGTCCTTTAATGTTTCTCTCGTGTGTTTTAATTCTATCCATTTGCACGTTCATGCGTGGTATGCTTTGCTAGGTCCCCTGAAAGTATGTTCTGGTCTCATCTTTCCTTCCTGAAAACAATGAGGAAGGGAGAAAGTATGAGTGGCAAGAAACAGCGTGGATGTGTCAGATGTTCAAATTGTGAATCACCTCATAATTTTTTTCCTAATTAAAATATGAAACTATTACAAATCATCAATTAAATGTTTGTATTCCAGCTCCTTTCCCAGATTTTTCATTGTAGAGTACAAAAAGCCTTAACCTGAAGCACACGAGCTTGAGTATATAAACGACTATTTCAGCAAACCTATTCCAAGTATTGCTAACAGCCCAGATTTACCCGCTAGTTTGTCAACTGACCTAATGTCTTGAAAATAGGAACCACCTTGTGGTTTAATTGTGAAAATTAGCATTTTCCTCTAGCGGCTGAACACTTATGTAGCAATAAAAAGTGAATTGTTAGGCTTATAAATCTTGAGCTTGTCAAATTTTACAGCAGAGGAGCAATAAAGCACCTTAGAAGAGATGAAGTTTTTCCTCTGAAGAACAGTTGTTTCGCGTATCAGGATTTGCAGTGACTCCAGGACGCCCTCTATTGATAAGAAAATCTTGATCACCCCGTTATTTAAGAAACAGGATGGGCCAGGAAGGAAAAAAGAAGAAAGGGGGCGGGGGACGAAAAACATAGTCACCAGCAGAAAGACCCAAGACCCAAATCAAATTGAATTTATTGATACTTAACTTTGGGTTATACTTGGTGAGTGGGGTATTGATTTAATCCAGGAGCACTGAGTTACTTACCTAGTCCTTTAAAAAAATCTATTTTTTTTTTAATTTTGAGACAGTTTCGATAAGGTCCTGATGGACTAGCTATATTGCTGAGGCTGACCTCCAACTTGAGATTCTCCTGCCTCAGTCTCCCAGTAGCTGAAATTAGCCACGCTGGTTATATGTTTTGACATATGAATAAAGTGGAATTTTTTTCATGGGGACAGAATTAAAACTTGATTTAAGGGGAGGTACATTTTATTGTGTCTTTTTAGTGAAACGCTTTCAAAAACAAAGTGCCATATATGATTAATTTTAAAAAGACATTTACTAGCATCTTGTGAACTGTATTTCATGGATTATGTGTAGTAATTGCAAGAAACTAATTTTTGCTCTAATAGTATTTAGTCCATGATATTATCTAAAAATGTCAGAAACCCCAAGTCCCACTAAAAGCCATCTCTCCAGGCAGCTCTGAAGCTATCATTAAGATATTAAAGATAGATACAAGGTTTGGATTATACTGTGGGTAGTGAAAGGTGTGTTTACTACTTGAGTCATCATAGTATGTAATAAGTAATGAAAAGTTACAGTAAAAAAGATGGGTATGCTTCATTAGGAACCTAGTGGTTTGAGCAACTCATAATGTGTCTAATGAGTAAGCTGGTGAGACCTAAGGTTTGCCCCCCAATTATCCTAGTCCATTGATTAGCACACTGTAATATGTGGAATATTAGCATATCTGTGGTTGATATGAAATTCCTAATTAAAGATTCTGAGTAATGTAGCGGGTAGAGTTGCAAACTGCAATTTTGATGTACAGTAATTGGATTTAAAAAGGCAGCCCTGCGTGGTTTAGGGAAAGGCAGAGGTCAGAGAGTATGAAGTGGCCTCCAGTCTCGAGGCCATTCTTGAGAGTAGATAGCAGTTCACACCTACTGATAACAGATTGGATCCCATCATCAGTCTCACAACTGCTTTCCTGTCTCCATTTGGTAGCCCCCTTGCCCTGCAGACCATTGGTCTCCTTTATTTCCTTAATTTTTGGACCCATCCAATCTAAAAAGTAGAAACTGACTATTCACTGAATTCATCTCATAGACCGAAAATGTGTGAAAAAGCCACTGAGCAAAAGCAAAACGTGGCATAATTATGCTGCATAAAACCTCACCATTCTCATTAATCTAACTACACTGTAACGGCACACGTTGAAGTCCATCCACTCTCAGACCCTCCTCACCGCTTCGAGGCAGGGAAATGTCAAAGAAACCAGAACCTTGTAAGCTTTTCACTCAGTCGCCTGCTAACATTACCCGGGAGTTCGCCGGTACCTTCCTGGCCTATCTGATCTGCTTCCGACCGCAGAGCAGATTTCCAACGCGGCTCGGAGCTTGATTTACCAAGCGTCCGCAACAAGCTTAAGAGGTTCCGCAGGTGTTATTGACTGAGAGGGGACCTGCTGCACAGCACGAGATTAAAGAACCGGCTTCCGCCAAGGACCTGAAGCCGGAATTGGCGGGGGTAGGACGTGGAAGAATCGGGTGGGGAGGGATTAAAAACAAACCACCAAAAAACGTGGAGGAAGCTGAACCCGATCACATTAATTCGAAGGGAGGTCAAGGGGCTGTTCCCTTGTAACTCCAGCAAGAGGGAGAGTGGCTCAGTCAGCAGTTCTAGTTGGGAGCAAGGAAACAGTAAATAGAGGAAGTGGGTAGAGGAGAGAAAGGAAAAACGAGCAAGAGGGAGGCCGACCAGGGAGTCGAAAAACGACCCGCAGCCTGCGGACGCGGAACTCGAATTACACACAGCAGGCGGGAGGCGAGAGGCGGGAGGTAGAACGGGGGCGGACGCTTTGAGCCCTGAGAGTGGCGGGTTGGGCCCGGCCGACGCGCGCTCGCAGCCAATGGGAAGGGAAGAAAGGGGTGCTGCCTGGGGGCATGGAGCAGCGCGGATTGGCGGGTGCAGAGTGGGGCGGGGCGGCAGTGCGGAGCTGAGATTGATTGACCGCTCGGGCCACCGTGCAGATATCCGGGCGGCCCGCTGCTGCTCGCCAGGGCTGGTGCCCCTCCTGTAGGTCCACGCCCGCACTCCACGCCCGCTGAGCCCACGCTGGCCGCGGCTCGGGCGCTCGCGCTCTCCAGGCTGGTCTCGGCACTCGCTCACGATCTTTGTATCTTCTCTCCTGCCTCTCTCTTCTCGCCCGCTGTCTCCGACCACCGTGATGCTTTTGCTCCCCGTTGCCGCCGCCGCCGACTCGCTCCGCCCGCGGCGCGCCGCTTGCTGCGGCGGTGGCGGCGGCCCATCTTCTACGCTGGCCTGAAGGAGGAAGAAGAGGAAGCGAGGCGTGTTCCCCGGCCCATGCCGCAGCCACGGGCCCGGACCCGCCACGGCGCCCGCACCACCGCCCTCGCCCGAGCCCAGGAGACCTGCATGGACGGGCATGGGCTTGAGAGCAGCACCTTCCTGCGCCGCCGCCACCGCCTCCGCCGCTGCCGCCGGGGCTGAGCTGCGCCGCCGCCCCCGGCTCTGCCCGCCGCCGCTGGCGCTGCTGCTACTACTGCTGCTCAGCCTCGGGCTGCTCCACGCAGGTACGACGCGCGCGGGGGGGAACCAGGCCCGGGCCGAGGGCTTTGTTCTCCAACAGCCTGAGTCCCGAAAGCGCTCTCCGGGGCATAGGGCAACGTGGAGCGCCGGGAAAGGCCTCTCGAGCCCGGTGCACGCACCTTGGCCCGGCTCGCGGCGCGCCCAGGCGCAGAGAAAGCCCTCTCTCGGTTGCCCTCCCTGCCACCGTCTCGGACCATTGATAAATCTCCCGTCCTAGAGCAGCTTATCAAAGATTTAGCGGGCGGGGACTGTGCGCCCGAGACAAATGTTCCGGATGCTTTATTGCTCTCTGCATTGGTGTTTACTGAAAGTCAGGCTCGGATCAGGTTTCCGCCGCCGCCGCCTCAAAGTGGAGACAAGGAGCCTTGTACTGCTTCTCTGGAGCTGGGGGTGGCGGCGAGGCGAAGGAAGCCCACCAGATGGAAAGATTTTCAGACTTTAAAATCCTGGGGGTTAATCTTGAAGAAACTTAAACTTATTTGAACAGGGATTTCTTTCGGTTTTAGCAAAGCTGCTTTTAATTCAGCGTTTTGCCTCTCTTGCAAAACTCATGCTTCGTGGCTAGTCGCGTGTTTTCGGGTTCCAGGAGAGGTTGACAGATAGCATGCTGCCTTCTGGAGGTTGGCGTTTGCCCTGTTGAGGCTGCCTTAAGGAATGAGTTCTTAGGGACCCTGCTAACGTGTGATGCCCATGTTTCTTTTTGGGTGGGGGGGGGAAGTTTTCATTGAAATCCAAGACGCTATTTACAAATGAGGAATTTAAAGAATTTTTATATTAATTTCAAATTTTAAACGCAGATTTTATTTTGAAAACAACAGGACATTTGATAAGTTTCTTTTCCTCCTGAGACGTTTTGTCCTATGTTTATGTTAACAGCAGTCACAACGCGCTGATTGAAGAATCATGAACCTTAACGCCACCCAACTGTGCGGAGAAATTTTTACTTATTTATTGAGTCACAATCAGAGGTTCTAAAAATCTGGGAGGTATTTTTAAGTAATGGAAAACAATGTTTAAGATTTAAGGAAACGACTTAATTTAGTTTGCCTAACTTTGCATTTGTGGTGTAGTAGCTGCATTTTAATACTGTCACTTGGGGAAACTGAAGTCTTAATAAAGAATGTAGTAGAGAATTTTAGAATGATTGTTTTCATTAGTAGCTTTAGCACCTTAGAAAATAATATTAATGTGCATTACAATTTTGTGAAAAATTCTTAATATGCCAAAAGATATATTTAGAAGCAAGTGTATGGGGTTGGGAGTATGCTTATAGTGCCAAAAGTATACATTCTTTATATGGAAACTGAAGTGAAGGGTGGACCCCTCCCCCACCAACCTGTGGCTGCTTGAACATTGTTTCCAATAGTTGCCATAGGGTCCTATGACAGGATCCAAATGTGGTTCTTGAAGATTTCCATGCTGGCCTATGAAAGGCATATGAAATTGGTTTGGGAAATTCAAGAATTTGGAACATAAAGCTCCTATCATTATCTCAGTGTGCCCTTACTAAAGTCATCATTAGATTCAACTTCAAGTGCTATGGGGCGTAATTTCTATGGACAATTTGTTGGAAATAGACAATTAATCTGGTTATAGAAAAGAGGGCTCCTTTTGAGAGATCTCTTTGAAAAGAATGTTATTGAAATGCAGGGGTTGTTTCCCATAGTAGGAAGCCTAGCAGTGCTCTTTGCAGATGGACTACCATATGTTTTATGTCTGGATCCATATCATTTGCCTCAGCACCCCATATGGTTCACTCAATTCAGCTTCAGCATATCTCCTTTCTTTTATTATAAACTGGTGATTGTGCTGCAGATTCGCACATGCAGTCCTGACATTAAGGAAACTGTCTTGAATGGTGAGGCCTTTATGTCTGATTCACTAAAAAATAATGAAATGAAAGCACTAGACCTACAAGTCCTTTAGCACTTTCAGTAACTGGCATGAAAATACTATCACACTGATTGTAGATGATTTAACCCCAAAATGAAGAAATCTGTAACTGCGAATTTAGAATTCTGCCCTTGAGAAATAGCTTTCATTTGTTTACTTACATATACATAACGTGTGTATTTATTTTTAGCAAACCTCTGCAGTTCCTAAATGGAGATCCAATATGGAAGTTACTTGCTTACTCATACACTTCATGGCCTTCTTGGCTACATCCTTGAGATTGTTTCTACTCTGCATTGTCTTGGCATTTTGACAGGAGGTTTACTTTACCGCCTGTAACAGGCAAAGTGTGCATTGTCATTATAAATTCATGAAGCCTGGATATTTCTGGGTGTATGCTACAAATTAGTCATTATACAGAAGCCTGAGATGGAGCTGAAAATGCTGACCCAAAAGCACTTTTCTCTCTAGGTAGCCCTTCTCCATCCAATAATCTTTATAACAAAAGGCTGTTAGAAACCTTCTCTGAAGAAGCACTTCCATTTTGCATGAAATTTCTCATAGCAATCAGCACCTATATGCTATGAAAAATGGAAAGTTTGAGAGTGAGGTTGGGGATGAATAAAGGAAAGGGAAGAAAGCAGTCTAAAGTCTGCTTCTTTTCCCTTCTGAACAGTTGCATCTATATTTCCAAGGCATTCTTACTTTTGATATTTTATGATAATTATAAGTAAATGTATGTTCAGATAGATTTTATAGACCATAAAAAAGAACAAATAGGCACTGAAAGTTTAGCGGAAACTTTTTTGTGCTGTCATTTATTTGTAGTATATAAGAACTGTTCATTACCGAGAGATCATGGCCCTGTTTTTAGTTTTTGCTTTCTATTTGCTATGAATATGATTTTAAAAGTAATATAACAGTTACATTGGACTTTTTTTTTTTTCAGCTGTCATTTACTACTGTTGTTAAGAGATGGGAAATTAAAGGAGGCATGAGCTGTGGTGGAAGGAAAAGGAGATTTGAAGAACATTAATCACACCCTGGCTTGTGATCCATCTAGGAAGAGGCCTTTAATAGCCCTTTGCCTTGGTTTTCCTATCTGTAAAATGGCTTTAAAGCCTTTGGGAAGGTTTTTGTTTTGTTTTTGTTTTTAGCACCAATAGACTTGATCTGCTTTGGAGAGAGGAATTAATTACAACAATATTGGAGCTGCTTGGGTCAGCTTTGGACTGAGAAAGCTTAAAATAGGCCAAACATATGAAGGTGATTTTGTGATTTTTTTTTTTTAAAGTGATTTAGTGATTGCTCTAAGTACACAGCTCCACAATATTAAAATAATCCTGATATTCTCTTTTATTCAGATTAAACTGAATACAAAGTCTAGAGTACAATATTTTTTCTTCCTTGGTCTTTGAAATTTTAAAATATTGACAAAATTGTCATCAGTGATTGTTCCTGCCCATCCTTTTCTCACTATTAAAGCTAGAAACAGAGATTGCAGGCTATGTTATTCCAATTAAAAGCAGTTTACTATGAGTGCAGTGATGCAGACTTGTAATCTCCGTAATTTAGCAAAACCCTGTCTCAGAATTTTAAAAAGAAAGGAAGAAAGAAAGAATTGGGCCAGGTGTGATGACGCACACCTGTGATCCCAGCAGCTCGGGATGCTGAGGCAGAGGATTGCAAGTTTAAAGTCAGTCTCAGTAACTTAGCAAGGCCCTGTGTAAAAATAAAAATGGGCTGAGGATGTGGCTCAGTATTTAAGTTCCCCTGGGGGTTCAATCCCTGGTACCAAAAAAAAATAAATAAAACTGCTAAAATGAAATATTTGAAATATTTATATATTTAAATAAATATTTATGAGTAGTTCCACTGGTGGTGACTCTCCCCTTTCCCAAAATTCATCTTAGAATAGCATCCTCATTTCTCAGATAAGGAACCCAAAACTTGAAGGGATGAAGAGGCTTCCTCTATTTCTTAAAGACATAAAATTTCTTAAGTAACATAAATATATATTACAGTTCATTTCTATATAATTTGAGACTGATGATAAAGACCAGAATTTATCTTTTCAGTAAGTCTGTTGTTCCCACTTTATGAAACAGAATATTAAATCGATTGGCACACAACACTGATTGTCATTCTTGTCAGTTCTCTTTTTGTTCTTGTGATTTTTAATGGTACAAGGCTACTTTGCCACTGAGCAACACTTTTTATTTATTTATTTATGTTTATTTTGAGACATAGTCTCGCTAATTTGCTTTGAGCCTAAGTTGCTGAGGCTCTCTCAAACTTGCAATCCTCCTGCCTCAGCCTCCTGAGTTACTGGAATTACAGGTGTGTACCACTGTGCTCAGCTTTTGTGGATTTTCTGTATGTTTTGGAGAGGTTTTATAAATTGTTTGAGAGGCTAGTGGCAAAAAAGATACTTTGGAAATCAATTTTTCTAAAAACTACAGGACAGTAATACTTGGGGTTTTATTCCTTCATTTTAGCTTTGTTTAAATTATTAGGTTTATAAGGAGGCTGGTTTAAGGGGGAAAATATATAAGGTCTATATATTCTGAGGGAATTCTGTGCTTTATAGTTCTCTGAATCTCTTTCTGGAAAAAAAAAAAACATGGTTGGATCATCTGCGCAGCATAATTTCAGCATGTACTTTTCTATTTAGTGCCCTTTTACTTGTGATCTGCTTGAGAGCTGGAATCTTAGAGTGTCAGCGATGTTAAGGGAGATATAAATAGATAGCTTGGTCAAATGAATCACTGTATTTTTTAACAGAGCACCTATGTTTTGTAGAAACTAGGAAACAGTGGCTATATCCAGTTTGTTTCAGGAAAGTTAGAATAACTTAGTACCTGGATTTTTTCTTGGTATTTTCAACCTGTACCTTGTATATAAAATCATGTAAAGGTGTTTTAACTAATCATACTATAATTTAGGATTTTTCTCCTTCCTTGCATGTGGAGGCTTTAATCATGATTTTGTACATAGTGCTGCTCTTATAATACTTTCCAAAGCAAATTATTCATGTACTTTTCAAAATCCAAAGTTTGTGTCTTTGGCTTTACTTTAAAGCTAGAGAATCTTTCTCTAGCTTTAAAGTAAAAATCTATAACCTGATAAAGTATTTCAGTTACTATTCCCTTATCATTTTAACCCAGGAGCACCAAACGACTAATGTTCACTCACAGTAGCTCATGTGTTGAAGTTTTAAGTTAAATAACTGTATACAGTTTTTCTCCTGGGCTTAGTTTGAAAGAGACATGGGATCACAATACAACCCTGTTTCTGAAGGTTTCTTAAAATAGGAGTATATGAGATAGAACAAACATTTCCCAGAGGAGAATGTCTTTCTTGTGTACTTCAGGAAGTTATGAAGCACTTACACAGTCCGTCTTATCTTCTTTCCCATAGGTGACTGCCAACAGCCGGCCCAGTGTCGAATCCAGAAATGTACCACGGACTTTGTGTCCCTGACTTCGCACCTGAACTCTGCCATTGACGGCTTTGACTCTGAGTTTTGCAAGGCGCTGCGTGCCTATGCTGGCTGCACCCAGCGAACTTCAAAAGCCTGCCGTGGCAACCTGGTATACCATTCTGCTGTGTTAGGTATCAGTGACCTCATGAGCCAGAGGAACTGTTCCAAGGATGGACCCACATCCTCTACCAACCCTGAAGTGACCCATGACCCTTGCAACTATCACAGCCACACAGGAGCCAGAGAACATAGGGGAGGGGACCAGAACCCTCCCAATTACCTTTTTTGTGGCTTGTTTGGAGATCCTCACCTTAGAACTTTCAAGGATCACTTCCAAACGTGCAAAGTGGAAGGGGCCTGGCCACTCATAGATAATAATTACCTTTCAGTTCAAGTCACGAATGTGCCTGTGGTCCCTGGATCCAGTGCCACTGCTACAAATAAGGCAAGTGTGCTTTCTTGTTTTCCTTCTTTCTACTCATAACTTCCAGATGTTTGATTCAGACAACTTTCAAAATGTGATATAAAAGGCTTAGTTTAGAGGAGTCTTTATTATTTTAATGTCTTCTTGGGATGCAATTAACAGAGTTGATAAAGAATTTAGTAAGGAACTTGCTTTGGAATATAAAGTATGGGTCTAAATTTAAACAGACAGTGACATGAAAAATAAAAGAAAACAGTGAAATGGACTTCTCCTGGAAGAAAATGCAGGCCTATTTAATGAAAAAAAAAAATGTGTTTTTTTTTTTTTCATGATGTCTTTTGAGTGCATATGTGTGATTCTTCTTGAAGAAATCCATGTTCAGATTTATCAGATGAATGAAGTGGGCATTTTGAATAAAGAAAACTGTGAAACCTGGGGCAGTGACCCATAAGGAAGCATATTTTATTGGTGATTTGAAAGCTATAGTAAAACATAATAGCTATACGCTAAGCTTCCCAATGGCAAACCCATAATGGTGTTTTAGTTACTAACCTTTTGGTGACCAAGGAAGTTACAAATTGGATATTGCAGAACAGTGATATATAATTCCCATGTAATCTTGGGCCTTGTGTTAACAGTATAAATCAGAAGCTAAGGGAAAAGCTGGCAAAATTAAGTTTACACTGCCTTCTGTCCATTGTCTATAGCTCATGTTTATTTATTTTAAAAAGCACTAACACTGTTCAGAGATCTTCGACACCTACTTCCACGCACCAGTGTTTTCCTACAGATAGGTAGAGAGGAGTTTCCGATTGCCATCCAATGCTAATTTAATCATTAGCAAAGAAAGTATAAAACTGATTCTACTAAAAGAGAGTCCAAGTAAAACCACCTCCTTACCTGTTATCCCAACCACAAAACCCTACATATGGCTTCAGACCATCTCACTTGCTTTAATTTCCTTTATTTATTACATCTACTCATAAGTTGCTTTAGCGTAAAATATAATTGGGGGGGATCAAGCTTTTGAAATACTTATGACTGTTCTTTTGATTCCAGGATACCCTCCCTTGCCTCCAAACACATGCGGTATATTTTTAAAATGAATTTTAATTATTTGACTTGGCATTTTATGGAGGTAATTTTATAACACCTCAGGAGATATCTGCAGACACCCAGGGGTGCCACAAATCTAAGATTAAAAGTCATTTCTCTGAGAAAAGAGGACTGTTAACCCTAGTCCAGACATCTAAGGGGATCTCCAAAATGTTTATACTTTAACTCTCTGAAAAAGCTCTAGCTTGCCTTTTGCTTTACGGAATACTATATCTCAAAAGAAACTTTTTTCTCTGATTTTCATAAGTATGCAAATTTTTTTCTCTGTGGATCACAAAATATGTATTTATTTTAAGTTATGTCGTAAAGATAAAAATTTTGCAGTTACAAGATAAACCATAGTCAGGGGCTGGAGTTGTGGCTCAGTGGTAGAGAGTTCTCCCTAGCATGTGTGAGGCACTGGGTTTGATCCTCAACACCACATTAAAAAACAAATAAATAAACAAAATTAAAAAATAAATTCTACAACTAAAAAAATAAATTCTTAAAAAAAAAATAGACCATAACCAAAAATTCATCATTCCTGCAGAATCATAGGACACCTAAACTAGGAATAGTCAGAGTCAGTGGATAACTGAAATTTCAAGAATGGAACTAGGAATGGAGGAAGTCATAATCAGTTATTCAAATAATCAAGAACTGGAAAAATCAACTTCAGATAAGACTATAGAGATTAATAAAAGCTGTGTGAATACAAAAATAGTAGTTTTTTGTTTTTCACAAGTCCAAAGTTTTATTTTCCATGCCTTTCATCCAGTCACATGTCACCTCTATCATTTAACTTTAAAGTCTACATATTTTATGATTATGATGAAAATATTTGGGGGATAACCAGTAATCTTACAAGTATTAATATTATATAAATGGAACAATGTACGGTGAAGCACTTAAGATAATTCCATTTCAGTTAGAAAACTTATCATAATTTTTAGCAAATAAATAAATAAAAATTATTTATTTTCTCCTCCTGCTTGGTAATTATCAGAGATTTTACCCATTCCAAAAAGTGGTCCTCTTACATAAATTCAAGGGGTCGATGAGAGTATGTGGTTTTTTTAATTGCGCTGTTGGAAAGTATTTTGCCACATCTGGTGACCATGCTGTTTAGCAGCAAATTACTCTATGGCTTCACAACCTCTGGTTGTTCATTTGGGGTTTTGGGAGGGGGCTTTTCCCCCCTCCTCCTCTTTGCAACTCTCTCCAGAGCCCACATAATTATCTGGAAGGTTACTCACGATGGCCTGTCTCAAGGCTGGTGTGACATGTGCTGGTGAAACCACGCAGAGGCCTAAAATATTGCAGTATGATATCTTTTCACCCATCAAGTGCCAAAATAATAGACTTATAGACTGTAAGCATTAAAAAAAATGATGGAAATAAAAGTACTTTGAGGCAAAAAATTCAAAACAAATTTCAAACAAGATTTGATTTTTTCTCCTTGTTGTGTACTGTAGTTCTTTCTAAAAAAGTCTTTTGCAAGATTTTTTCGTTTGAGTCCCACCCCCTACTGAGAACTCGCACACATGTGTAGACCAGTTATTGGATAACTAGGCACCACATGTGGCAGATACTGCATCCTTGTGTGGTCAAGCATTTTTAATAACCCATATGCCCATTGTCACTGGTTTGAAAACTGGTGATATCATGGATCCTGGGCTTGCCAGCTGTGATACTGAAATTGTTGTTTAATGCTCGCTCATTTTCCTGCCTTCAGCACCAAACTGGAGCACTAAACCCCGGCTATGCTGCTCAGTGAGGTCACTAAGACAACTCATTTCTGAAAGCCCAGCTTCTTCTGGAAGCCATGTTCCAGTAAACTTAGTGAGCACTACCTGCCTATAAATAACCTCCTTTCTGTCATCACAAAAAGACAAAATGGGAAAAAAGACCAATAGCAGAATGAAAGAGGAGGAAGTCAGTTGTCCTCAAGGGGTCATTTTTGGCATTTTTTTTTTCCTCCCTAACAAGTGACAGTTTTAAGGCAGATAGGCCTGTGGTGTGTGATGTTGCCTCTTCTCCACTGTTCTCTCTGCCCCATGGCCCTCTCCTTGCCTTCTCTGGGAAAAGCAGGGCTTGTTTTCCAGGTGGTCATGGTGTGCGCAGGTATGCTTTCTAGGGGACTCTTTGTTTTTGTTTATGCTCTCTGCCAGCCTGCTATGCTTCGGCTCTCTGAAGCAGTCTGTACCAGTTGGCCAGCTTGCCAGGTAGATGTGTTACTGAAGAGAAAGCCAGAGCTGGTTTTTCATCTCTCCACCCCAGAGCTCCAGGGATTTCTGGCACATCTACACAACTCGGCTAAGATCCACATCAGCTTTGGGCCATCTTCCCCACCTTTAGTCATGAGAGGCAGCTGTAGGCATGTAGGTACTGGGGGAGACTGAGACGAGAGGGGCGGGCATAGAACTCATAGTTAGCTACACTGGCAAGAAAAGCAGTTTTTGTTTGGAGGGAGGAGGTAACCCATACTTTGTAGGCTCCAGAGAGGACCTATGTCATTAGCTCTCCTGGGCCTTATACTCGCAAGAGAGCCAGATCATCTTTTGGTGAAAGTGGTTGGGTTCTGTTCCTTCTCTTCCACATTCTTTGCCACCCCCTTAGTCTCAACCCTAGTTCATTCAGTGTATCTGTGTGGCTCTGTTTCAAACAAAGGTATTCAGTAAGGATCTGTGTACACCATGAGCACAGGAAATGATGAGCGGGTAAATTATTTTAAGGAAGGATTCTGCACTTTACCAGTGTATTTCTAGTAGCAAAAATTATCCCTTACCAAAACTAGGGGCGTATGTCAATAGTAGAATTCTTGCCTATTGTGTTCAGGGTACTGGGTTTGATCTTTAACACTGCAGAAAAGCACAACAACAACAACAAACCCCAAACAAAATACACTAGTCTTTGAAGTGCATTTTAAATGATTCCTTTTCAATGAAATTTCAGGAATTTGTTACTAAATTATAATCCAAACAATGGTGGGATTTTTAGTAATTGGTATTTGCAATCAATTTGAATGCTTTTGCTTTATCTTTCCTTTAGTTTTAATGTAGTCATATCCTTTCTGCCACTCTGGCTTTCTTGTACTATTCTTCAGTCTTAGTAAAGCAAAATTACAAATTGTAGGCCCTGTAACAATTTTTTTTGTGATCTGTTACCTGTTTTACTGAATTTTATCCTTGGGTGGAAGAAGGAGTTTATCCTAAAGTAGCTGGCATTTGGGAAAGGGTCTGCTTTTTGTGCTTGACCAAACCAAATTCCTGCTGACCTGGAGTGTGGATTCTCTGAGGTGCCTTGTAAACCCTTGCTCCTGCAATGAGCTACCAGCTCCTGGTAATCCCATGGCAGCACCCAGTACCTGTCCAAAACACATTAGGAAGCCCTACCCATCAGGTAGTGTGTGTGTGTGTGTGTGGTGTTTAATTCCATAATTATCCAGAAATTTCAAATTCTGTAGCTACTTTCTTAGAAGTTTCTGGAACTTTACTACAGATGCTAAAGATGTAGAAAAACTTAGTTTTGTTCATTTTCATTTAATGTCTTCCTCAAACTGTATAATGCAAGGCTTTCCATGGTAATGAATCTCCATTCTCATGTAGGCTCCTAGACATGAGGTAAGTCTGCTTTTCCTTTCTGATGCCTCTTAGCATGTTGGTATTTTTCCACAGTATCATATGGACAGGCAAACCAGTGTTCTGGATCATTCTGTATTGGTTACACAATCATCCAGACTTAACTGCATTGCAAAGGCTTTCAACTGTCATTTTAAGTATATCTCTGGATCAGTGTTTAGAAATTTGTCCTCTCTTGACCCCACACCTATTTATTTATTTATTTTTGTGGCCCATTATGTTTTTAGCATCTCTTCCAAGACCATGTAAGCTACACAGTAGCCATCCTTTCATTTTTATAGGCTG